TGCTGGGGGGGGGGGGGGGGGGATGGAAAACGTTTTCAAACAACCCTTTTTTGGTGGAAATGGAAATTTTTTTCCATTTTCCATGTTAAAACAACCCTATCAAACAGGGCGTAGTGTTTTTATGGGCTTTTAATATGTGGAAAAGCATTTGGTATAATTAACTACTCAATATACTTTTTTGTGACACCAGGTATGATCATATTAGCAAATTTCATGTTATGGATTATTTGAAAATGACAGTTTTCAATTGGGAAATGGAAATTATCAAATTCATGAATTTGGAATGGATTGATAATAATGGGCTAAATATTTGCGCATTATATTATATTATTCTTAATTAAACTTTGCAGTAATATTAAGAGGAATAAGATTGTCCTCCCCCTCTCCTTACCTTGACTAATATTATTATGGCTGTTGGAGCCAGAGGATAGGAATGGAAATAAGTTAAGCAGCTCAACCTTGAAAAGTTTGTTTCCATTAGAATGGAAATAAGTTAAGCAGCTCAACCTTGAAAAGTTTGTTTCCATTAGAATGGAAATAAGTTAAGCAGCTCAACCTTGAAAAGTTTGTTTCCATTAGAATGGAAATAAGTTAAGCAGCTCAACCTTGAAAAGTTTGTTTCCATTAGAATGGAAATAAGTTAAGCAGCTCAACCTTGAAAAGTTTGCTTCCATTATAATGAAGACAAACTTGTTAACTATGACCATTGGTACTGATTGGACAGAAAATACACACACACAGAGCATTCTTGAAATGCTTTCGAGAATTTGCTTAGGAATTTGGCGAAGAGACTTAGGAAGTGATGATATCACCTTTGAATTGAGAGTTCAGCTACTGTTAAGTCAGTGAGTTGAGACTTTTAAACAATTGTCATAACACAATGAGGAAGTTTTAATTTGGGACTCTTGAACTTGATTGAGATGCCCATACTGCATAAACTAAAGAAATGTAATGCATAGGTCTTTCAATGCAGTATTAAAGCCTTCTCTGGGAATCAGAATGTTTTGAAAGTGTGCAAAATAAACGAAGCCTGGAGAATGTATGTTATTATCAATTAGTTTGTTGCAGGGTTTCTCTGGGACTCAGAATGTTTCAAGTCTACAAAAGGACGAAGCATGGAGAGTAAATGTGCAAATTCAAGGCATTGATCACGATCATGGTTATTTATGTGGCACAATGGAAGCTCTAAATGTTCCTATGGCCGACACCCCAGTAAGAATCTTTACAGTTGAGATAGTTATAAAGATTCCATTACGGTTAGTTATAAAGATTCCATTACAGTCACATATCTTTTTTCGGCTATCTTTCGTCTGTCTAGAATGAGTTGGAGAAAGTTTAACATTGGTTTATGAAATATCCTTCCTTTTCTTATTTGTTTTGGCCCAGGATTTGTGTTTGCAGTATTAAGGTTTCAATGTTTTGGGTGGAAAAAGGAAATTAACTTTAAGTATCCTTTTGACCTGATTTAGGTGCTCTCTGTGGTACTTGAAGTTCAAGCAAATATGGAGCTAGATTTTTATTGCCCTAGTATTACTGTTTTATCGTTTTATCTAGAACCTGAGATACACTATGTCTCTTTACCTTATATGCTTGTTTTGAAAATAGACATTTAATCATCTATTCAAGTCCTAGAGTCTATAGTAACATAGCGTCACTATTCACATCTTCACCAACTCCAGGAATCCTGTTTACTCAGAAGCAAATTTTTTCATTTTTCCTTGTCACTACACATATGCATGTGATTAAACAGGATATCATGATCACGAAGAAGAAGTCAATCTCACTTTTGTTAACTTTTGTCTCACTAATCAACTAAAAGGATAAAGCAAAAACATTACTATGTGTTATAAGATGGTCTGTTGAATTTACTTCAAAATACAAGGATCTATTTTAGGACATTTGTATTCCCAAATAAAAAGTTTTGCAAATTGAGCAAGACACAGCACATATATAATTTAGCATATGCTGTTTATTTGACCTGAACTTGTATTTCTTTTCACTGTATATATAACCACCATATAAATTTAGCAGATAATGATTTTCCTACATCATTGTGTTAGAGTATTTACAGCACTAATTAGAGTTCTCCATATATAAATTGCATAGATTTGGTAGTTGCCATAGAATTAGGGATTTATTTTATTGCACAGCAAGACTTAATTTCCTCTTTGTAATACTCTATAAATTACATCAATACATACCGGGAAAGATCATTCAGCACAATTGACACGTTGTTCCTCACTTCCTCTATAGATTTTGAGTGCTAAAAATGGGAGTGGCTTTTGAGATTGCCTCCACCACTGTGCTCCCTTTTGTGCAAAATTGCAATTTCTCTTATAAATTGTAACAATAGTGTGCTTGGATTATTCATGCAAAAAGAGGCTGTTTCTCTGCAGTAATTTGACGCCCTTTATTCTCTTTTTTCTTATTCAAAACTTGCATCTCAGGTAGTTACCTTTTGGGAAGGGGAAATTGTTGACACCAAGAATTATACTTTCTTCACTGGAAAGTGGGGAGCAACGTATGTTTTTTTCCTTCCCTTATCTTGTATATGGGAACAATTTTTTTTAATAAATTAGCAAACAGGAATGCAAATTGATTTAATTAACATTGAAATATACAAGTAAGTTCCTTCTTCCATAGCTGGCTTTCAATTGTGAGCAGGACAGAAGATGACATAAAGCACTGGACAAAATTTCAGTCCTTTTCACCCCTCCTGGTGAGTAGATAATGGTCTCCTTTTGGATGCCAAAATTATATCTTTCTTAATTTCTCTAATCCTCTCCAGAGCAAAGTGGAAGTCGATGGAGGAAAAACTTTGGACTTGAGTAATTATCCTTACATATTTATGGTAATGACCTGGTTTCTATGATTCATTCTTTCCATTATCTTTTAAACGAGTTTCATACTATCTCTTTTGTAAATGTTTCTTCCAATTTGGCTTGACAGAGATGGAAAGAACAATACTTTGTGAATGTTGGGACAGACTGTGGATTGACCATAGCCGGATTTTACTATGTTTGCTTCTCCTGTAGTGATGGCTCCATTAATGGCTTCTATTATGATCCTAATAGCAGGTATGCTTATGTTTTTCTGTTTCTGTTATTGTTAGGATCCTCGATGACTTTTATTTTCCTATTATCATCATCTTAGGAAAAATTGCTTTCCAATTATTATCATCTTAGGAAAAATTGCTTTCTACCACTGGGATTTGATCGTACAACTAAAATTAAATGTTGGTAGAGCAACTGGTGCCCCTTTTTCGAGGATTTTTATTTTATTTTATTTGTTTATTTATTATTATTATTATTTTTAAATAAATTCTCAGACAATAGACTGAGGACATGAAGGCAATTTTCCCATAATCTTATGCCCATTCTTGATTCTTTACGCGCTGTATATCTCTATATCCTCGAAACAACAAAAGTGACAGAATTTCTGGAATAATCTTGCAGCCCTTTCCAGAAGTTGGAATTGAAGTCGACTAACGATGGAAGATCAGGGTTCAGTTTCTCCACTTACGAGTTGCAGTAAACATGACGCCAGCAGTTGTAGAAGATGAAATATCCTATTTTTATCATGCATTGCCCTCAAGATATTGCTTCCAATCTTCAGTTGAGTTTATGTTCATAAAATTGGGTAGAATTTGAGAACGAACAAGAGAGCATATGGCAGTTGATGAGTTTGTGCCTTTATTTTGTCTCTAAGAATTCTTTAATGTCCAATATAACCTTTATCAACTGGGCAGGTGTGGAATGATCAATAGCAATGTAACATTGACATGCAATTTGAATTGAATTATTCACTATCTTTATATAATTTCTTTGTGCAGGATGTGCGATCGCACATTTTAACCAGTAACCATCTTGGAACGTGATTATCGATGTTTGACAAGAAAACTTCAATGAACTATTTCAAGTATTTAGACTGAATTTCTGCAAGATAATACTTACAAGTTTATAAATATTTGCAGTAAATAAGAAGGGATTCGGCCATAAATATAAACATTTCATTTCAACGAAGTGGGACCCAAACAAATATGATGCACACAACTTCTATGGGTCAAGAACCCAAGCGGATAAGGTGGGAGAACGCTGAACTGAGCGTTGGCAAGATCACAATACCAAAAATACATGGCAAACTCGCAAATACTTTCTTTTTCTCCCATTACAGCTCCACCTTCAACAGTTGATTATAAAAATAAAAACTGTTTTTTTCTGCATAATTACGAAAGAATGTGCAGAAATTCCCAGAAAAGGGCCTCTTTCAAGATTCAAGCAGCAAAGCTTCCTGCTGGAGTATGTTTTCCTTTTCTATTTATCGTTTCCTTCTTCATTTTATATTTTTAATGCTTCAGCCAGCTGTGTCTTTGAGAGCGAACCAATTTAAATCTTAGGATTCTTAAGATTGAATTTTTCATTTTTTATTTATTTCTGTTAGTAATTAAAACTTAATTAATTTTCAACGTTTATATGAATTATAATATTAGGGAAATATTCTTCTACTTTTTTCTACTGATTTCTAATTATTTGGTGTTTAATTTTCAGATTCTGAACGAGGGAATACTTCAGATAATTGGTGTGGATATTGGCAAAGGTCTTGATCTTCCTCTATGAAAATTCAGGCTATGTTTAATAATTTTGAGTTATCAATTTCGGTAACAAATTGTATCGAATGACAATCTCGTCTAACCGATCAAGATATTCATTTATGAGTAATAAAAAAAAATTATTTTGTATGAATATATTTTATTTTACAGATTTTTTCAAATTTTAAATTGTCGGGCATATTGCATATTATATAACATTGTAACAAGAATGAGACCATCCAAAAGATGACAGATTTCTCCTAAATATAAAATACAATTAGATATGGAGATATTATAAATCTAGAAAAAGTTGGTATAACTACAATGATGGTATTTTATACCATACTATGAACTTGTAGTCATACCCGAATTTCGTGCATTCAAATCAAAGCATATTTCAGTTTTTACACTGATTCTTCCTACAATTAAATCATCTATTTTCTTGCATAATTACAAGGTTTTCAAAACTAATGTAAAGATTAATTTTTCATTTGGCCATTCACACAAAGATATCAATGAGAGATACTTTTTAATGCGGGTTTTGAACTTACATGAAGAAGGACTCGAGAATAGTTACTAGTCGACAAAATACATGATCAGACATCAAGATATTAAGCACGAAGAAGCCACATACGAGCCACATACGATATAATTTACTCTTTACTTCTTAGCATCTTGATGGTTTAAATTTGTTCCTTATTATAGTTCAACCGGTCGGAGGTTAAGTCTCACGTCTCTTCCTAATTTTGTTACTTTATTTACTGTTTTTAGTATGCATAAAGACTTTACTTTATCAGTAATTTGATTAATAACAAAATTACAATAAAATATAACGAAACATATTTGTCAAAACTTATAATTTTCTTATATGTAGTGTCTTACGGAATAAGTGGTTAAAAACTACATAAAAATTGTGAATTTTTGAAATGTGTGGATAAAAATAAAGTTTTATCAACTTATAAATAATTATAAACTTTGAAAAACATGTACAATACGATGCTTATAATAGATAGCTTGAGTTATGCTGCTTGGACAGGGTTTGCGAACAAGGTTGGGGACAGGTGCTGCCAACGGCAATGCAGCACCTGTGTGGTTCCTTTTTTTTTTTTTTTTTTAAACTATCCAATGAAATGCTGACACGTGTCCTTTCTTTTTCTTCTTCTTTTTTTTAAAAAAAAAATATCTAATGAAATGCCAACACGTGTCTTCCTATTTTTAAATTATGTCCAACCCTATTTGTGTAGTATGACTCTAGGTAGCCTGCTATGTGCACGGGAGGGCATCCATAAAGCAAGTTATAATTGCCAACTTTGCCAGGGAAATCATCATATTGGTATGCCCCTGAATAATAATTAAAAAAGCATTAACATCTTGAATTCAAATCTCATTGCTAAAAGTCTATAAAAATTGTGAAGATATTAAAAACTTTAACATAATTAGTTAGACCCCACATGACCAGACTATGTCTCTGTAAGTCTGTGTGGTTTTGCTAAAAATAATTTGTTGGTATATTTTAATAAAAGTTGATAAAACGATTAAAAAATTGTGGATCACCAAAAATATGTTATCATTTTAATTGGAATTTTTATAAGCTTCTTAGAGCCTGTTTGGTTTGGAATAAAATCTAATTTTAATATAAGTCAAAGTCAAAGAATCAATATTAACTACATCTTTCACGGTCCCACATCTTTTCAACTATATATTTCAAAAACTTCTATAACAATTTATTAAAAAATCTAAGTTTAATCTCCACCATAAATCCTCTTAAACTATAAAAATTAGACTAAATAAAAATAGTCCGCCTTAACATCACATGCATGTTCTAAAATCTAAATGGTTTCAGAGGAAAGAAACGGGAGCATACCCCTTTTGGCTGCCATATTACGTTCAATATCCTCAATCAGCTTCTTTTGAACAAAAGTAGAAAACATCACGAGTAAGGAAAGATTTGACAGTGTACAATATGTCAAACAGAACTAGATTGTCTTTGACACCACTCTAATGTTGTTTTCCAACTACAGTTGCTCCAAGAAAATATTTTTCATTTTTAATTTTGTCCTTAATGTGTTCCATGTTCGTCATCTAATTAACCAAACACCCAATCTACACCTCTATAAAACCTCAATGCCTGAAAGTTGAATTTTCACTCATCACTCCCAACCCTTCTCCCTGAGAAGATACAAGAGAAAATATAGAATTATGGGTGTCTGTACAATTCACTTCCTGCTGGCTTCAATGGGATTTTTCATCTCATTGGTTCTTCTTCCTCAGCACGCACAAGGCATAACCAGGCATTACGAGTTTAACGTATGTCATTATAACATGATTTTGGCCTTATATCAGTCTATCTGTTCATGCTTAAAAGCCAGCTTCTGATCATGATAGCTTCCTTATCTTGTACTGCAGTTATTTCGTGGTTATAATTAATAGACGTGTACTTGTTGATTTCACATTTACATTTCTTGTTGCATTTTTTTAATTCTCTTGTAGATCACAATGCAAAGCGTGACACGGCTGTGCCACACAAAAAGCATGGTCACTGTAAACGGGCAATTTCCTGGACCTCGCATTGTAGCTAATGAGGGCGACCGTCTACTTGTCAAAGTCACAAACCATGTCCCCAACAATATCTCCATCCATTGGTAATACTCTTATTTTCTACATTTTACTATTTACTTCTTGATTTGTGTGTGCCATTGCAAGATGACAACAGGGCAATACAATCTTCTCTGTGTCGTCCCAATTTTATCAAATATTTGCAATGGGACTTTCCTTTTACTTTAATTTCAATCAAAGAATAGAAAATTTATTTATATAGTTACTGTATTATTACAGGCATGGAATTCGACAGCTTAGTAGTGGATGGGCCGATGGACCTGCATATATAACACAGTGTCCCATTCAAACTGGGCAGAGTTATGTGTACAATTTCACTATAATTGGCCAAAGGGGAACCCTTTGGTGGCATGCACATATTTCATGGCTAAGATCAACTGTTTATGGTCCTCTAATCATTCTACCCAAGCATAATGTGCCTTATCCATTTCAAAAACCTTACAAGGAAGTCCCCATCATATTTGGTAATCATCAATTTTAATATTTGCTCGTGCTGCAAGTTTGAATGCTCGACTTGATAGTGCTAACAAATTTGTCACGTGCATTTCTCGTTGAAATTTAAACATGTCTGTGACTATGTAATGTGCAGGAGAATGGTTCAATACTGATCCTGAGGCCATTATAAGCCAAGCTTTAAGAATGGGTGGTGGTCCAAATGTTTCCGATGCCTATACTATCAACGGATTGCCAGGGCCCTTGTACAACTGCTCCACAAAAGGTACCAAACTGAACCAAGTTTTAATTGGACGGTACGATGGATAATATATATATTTTTTAATTAATATGTAGAGCAATACATTTTCTTCACGTTGTATACTTGTTCTTGACAGATGCATTCAAGCTGAAGGTTAAGCCTGGAAAAACCTACCTCCTCCGTATGATCAACGCTGCACTCAATGACGAGCTTTTCTTTAGTATTGCAAATCATACCCTCACAGTTGTTGAAGCTGATGCAATTTATGTTAAACCCTTTGAAACTGACACAATTCTTATTACCCCTGGACAAACCACAAATGTTCTTCTTACAACAAAACCTAGTTTCCCAGGTGCCACTTTTCTCATGACTGCTAGACCATATGTGACTGGACAAGGCACTTTTGACAACTCCACAGTTGCTGGAATTCTTGAATATGAATCACCAATTCATTCGAGCTTCTCAATCAAGAATCTTCCCCTCTTCAAGCCAACTTTACCTCCTCTAAATGACACATCCTTCGCCACAAATTTCGCGGAAAAACTGCATAGTTTAGCCAGTCGGGAGTTCCCCGCTAATGTCCCCGACAGAGTTGATCAACGTTTCTTTTTCACGGTCGGCCTCGGGACTAGCCCTTGTGATAAAAACCAGACATGTCAAGGACCAAATGGCACCAAATTTGCAGCATCAGTTAATAATATATCTTTTGTACAACCAAACACGGCTTTACTCCAATCCCATTTCTTTGGCCAATCCAAAGATGTATACAGCCCTGATTTTCCAATCAATCCTTTCCACTGGTTCAACTACACTGGAAACCCTCCAAACAATACCATGGTTGGAAATGGGACAAAACTCATGGTTTTGTCATTTAATACTAGTGTTGAGCTAATCATGCAGGATACTAGCATTCTTGGTGGTGAGAGTCACCCTCTTCATTTGCATGGCTTTAATTTCTTTGTTGTTGGACAAGGATTTGGAAACTATGATCCTAACAAGGACCCTGAAAACTTCAATCTTGTTGATCCAATTGAAAGGAACACCGTTGGCGTGCCCTCAGGTGGATGGGTTGCAATTCGATTTTTAGCTGATAATCCAGGTGAAAAAAAAAAAAAAAAAAAAATTAGTTACTTTTCAAATGAGCAAATATTTACTTAGTACAATCTAATAATGTCTAACCTATGTTACTAATTAAACATGCAAATAAAGTGCTCGACTCATATAAACGTAACAATGTCACAATCTTGACAAGAATTTCCTATTTTTAGCTACCTTTTGGAGAAATATTTCTTTCTTGTTTCAATTTAACAATCATGATCACCTTGATCGTGTGTTAATAGGTGTATGGTTCATGCATTGTCATCTGGAAGTGCACACAAGCTGGGGTTTGAAAATGGCATGGCTTGTCTTGGATGGAAAGCTTCCCAATCAAAAGCTCCTTCCTCCACCGTCTGACCTTCCCAAATGCTGATAATCGATGATCTTGAATTTTAATTTTCAATCTGCCATTGAGATTATTTCTTTGTTTTTCTCCTCTTTCCATTTTTAACTTTTTTTCCCCTAACAAAACAGGCCCTGCCAGTTTTGGCACTGACTTGATTCATTTGTTCATTTATTTTGGCCAATCTGAAAGTGAAGTGACTCCTGGATTATCTTTTGTCATTATGGTCATGAACAATTCAATAAATTTATGAAAGTCTGTATCTTTTGATTTTGTTAGCATTCATTTTGCGGTATTATTTTCCCTCTTAAGATATTAATCAGTTCTATTTACTTTATCATCCTACAAGTCTTGTTCTTTGATCATAAAAATACCTTTCAAGGAACAATTTCTAGTACTTTTAGAGAATGGAGTACTCAATACTCTCTACCATCATTTAAAAAAAAAAAAAAAAAAAGAAAAAAGAGAGTTTTAAAATATCTGACCAATCAAGATCTTAGTACACTAGTATTTACCATCATTTTAGTAATAGTAGCGTTACTAACGAAAGAGATCTTGAGTGTTATACAATTGAACACACACAAAATTGAATGGTCGAAAATTGATATCAAAGTTTTGACAATTTTGTGAAAGTCAACTTATCATTTACGTCTTCAATTAGGAGCACAAATCTTCTTTTAAACAAGCATTTCTTTATTAATTTTGTTGATAATATATATTCAGCTTAACTGTTTAAGCATTCCTATAATAGTATATTATTGAAAAATGAAGAGATTTTACATAGAAGGTGGCAGGGGAATTAATTTGAGTGGAGCTTAACAATAATCTGAGTATCTCCTTCCACTCGCCTATTAAATGAGTTGTGGGAACCTGGGAGCCAACAAGGGTACATCCTGCGATTTACCTCCCTGAGCTGCTGAGGGGTCGGAGGTTCAGGGACAAGGATCTAGTCGGACGCAAGCCCGGATACCTTGTAAAAAAAAAAAAAAAAAAAAAAAAAAAAAAAAAAAAAAAAAAAAAAAAAAAAAAAAAAAAAAAAAAAAAAAAAAAAAAAAAAAAAAAAAAAAAAAAAAAAAAAAAAAATT